CTAACGATCAACAGACTTCTTCTGATATATGTAACAAAAAGCAATACCGCTCGGCTGGTGGGAAGATTCGATTCCGGGGAGAAAAATACAATTGGTAAAAAAAAAAAAAAATCCTTCCCGATCACTTTAATTTCATCATAAGAAGGTATAGATGCTGGCTTATAGTATGTATATTATTTAAGCCAGTGCAGAGATCGAGCGAGGAGAGTCAAAGATAAGAAGGACAGAATTTGGACTATATATGAAACAATGACTCCATTGTCAACTCAGAACGTGACAGACAAAACGCGTAATCCTTATCCCCATTTGACATATTCACTCTGCCTGCAGCCCATCATGCCTTTCCACTCCTTCCTTCATTCCGTTCCTTCCCTCCTTCTCTTTCTCTCTCCCCCACATTCTTTTTTGAAGAAAATTTAAATATCCAAGTGAATAGAGAGAGATAATGGATGAAGTGGAGAGCATTAGGGATCATAGGAAATTGGCGTGGGCGAGTAACAAAGATCGCACTAAACTTGATCAAATATAAAACAAAGTCTCCAGCGAGCAGCGAGCATCCATGGTTGGAGTTTGAAGTCGCAGCAAGTGGGATCATCTCTGATCTCTAGCACCATATAAAATAATGTCCACTTAATCAAAGTCAAGTTTCAGGATCCGAATGCATTAGTATTAATTTGGGGAAGCGAAGCTTGAGAGTCAATACATGTCATTGGAGATCCATCCTCGGGCTGGCACGAGATCGTGCTGCAGCTAAATGACTGCTCGTGCCGTAGTGCCGCTGGTTTAGAATGCTCAAATTGGTGGACATATTTTTGAGGTCATCGTGCCGTCTCCTTATTATTGGTTCTTACATTAGTTAGTCAACGAGGTCGGTCCCCTCATGATGCTTTCCGCGTCAACATTAATAATATCCAATTTCACGCTCGATATCAATCCGCCCAAAATATTCACGAGCCAGATGAGCAAAAAAAAATCTCTTAAAAAAAATAAAATATGCCTTACTTGGTTGGTAGATCTTTATTAGAAAATTAAGAGATGAAAGTGGGAGAGGGTTGGTGGGACATGCAAATGGAAACAGGTCGTGGAGAAGGTGGCTAGTGGCTGCGGCTGCTTTTCCCACTTGCAAATATTGAATCATTATTCCTTTGAATCCCTCACCTTCTCCATCGATTCCCCCGACCGCACCATCACTCTTCCCTTGTTTCCATTCTATTTAATTTCCTTTCACGCTGAGGATGTGTCTGTGGTTTTTTAAATTTTGTAAATATATTTAACATCATTTAAAAATTACTTAAAATACAGTACAAACCATTTTCCTTTACGGCCATTTTATTTGCCACGTATCGGTTGCGCGTGTTTTAGAGCGGGAAATGAGTCACTGATGCGTGAGTTTCGGATGCACCACAATTGTAGTGGGCTGAGCTCAGCAAGAGAAAAAGATCCGCGTTGTAACTTCGGTGAATGCTTGAGGCCGATGCTTCATGGAGAATTTGTGAAGAGCTTTTGTTGAATCCGGCAACACATGGTCTCATCCAACAGCGTAGGTGAAGTTATAAACGGACAGCTAAGCGTTGTGCAGTCCAGCGGCAAAATTTGGACGTTATAAAGGGAAGTGTTCGGCCATCCGTGAAAGACCCTCAATCTCTCACAGCAACATCCCCGGATCTTTCAAACCCCAGTTAGTTTCGCCATGTTCGTGTGTTCATCTTCAACGCTCCAGCGCTCGATTTTGTAGCCCTGTTTAATGTTTCATTGCCTGACTCTAGCTAGTTCATTTGCTCATTCGATGCGCTCACGTTCGCATTCTCCTTTCATCATCCCCCGCGAAAATCTGTCAATCTTTTCCGATGCAGTTTCATAACGCTTGATCAGGCACGCCTCGTTCATGTAATCTAACTTGCTCAAAACAAGATATTTAAGCAAATGATTCAATTGGGCCTTTTTGTTTCTCAGTGCAGATTAAATAACTGGAAAATGAACTAATTAATTGAAGCATTGTATTTTCGTGTTGTCTTGTCTTTAATTATTGAATATTGCTGAAAGTTTGATCGATCCGGATAAGATATAAATAATGTAACAGGCATTCATTCATTATACACACTTGGGGAGTTTTCTAGACGTATTAAAATTAGTGAGGCACGTCCATTTAGATGAACGAGTTGAAATGTTTAGGAAATAATATAAAATGCGTGTTTAAGATGGGGCATGGATGATAGGTGTATAAAATGGTTTTCAATTAACATGGAGCTTAAACTATTATTCATGCATATCATGGGGATATAATAGATTGAGTCAGAAGAGAGAGAGTGATGGTAGGAGGGTTCTGATCAAATATCAGGACTCTATCTTGGTATTTCCCGTCCGTTTTAATCAACATGGGAGGGATAAAAATGCTTCGATTTCAATAACCCGTTTCAAGGCGAAAATTTTGTGAACCCCGCCCGACAGCGTAGATTATCCAATAATGGTGTTAGTAAAGAAACAAGAGAAGATATACAAAAGGAAAGAAGGGGAGGCACTGTTCTAAAATTTTCAAGTTGACTCTTCAATATTTTTTAGTTTTTAATTTATAAAATTATATTATCTTCTTCACAAATTTAAACTAGATCAAACTTGATTAAACTCGTGAATTGACTTTACGAGTTTATCATTTTTATATTTTTAACTTATAAAATCATATTAATTCACTCATAAACTCATTGAGCAAGATGCGTATATATATATCGTGTAGAACTCAATTTATAGAAGGGATTGAATCCGGTTCATAAGAGGAAAAACTAATATTAATAGAAAATAACAAAAATAAATTGATTTATTTTTAAAATTCTATGCTGAGTATGATAATCTATAAATGCGAATGAATTTAGTTTTAATGATTTATATTTAAAATATATTTAAATTAAAATATAGTCAGAATTTATATTTTAATTATTTAACTATATATTTTTAAAAGCTATTTGTTAACAGAGATAAAATTTTATGAGTTTATGATTGAGTTTATAGTTTAAGTTTACATCCTCATCACTCATTTAACTAGATGCGCGACTTTAATAACCTTGGCAGGAGGGGTATTTTATGAGAAAAATGATAATAAAATTCCTCTAGATTATGTAAATAATATTTTGATCTCTCACAATGCTGTAATATTAATTAAGCCTCTAGAGACCTCTATGATAGCGCTCACCCCACCTTCTCGAGGGTTTTTTGAATTAAGCCAACCTACCTCACAGTAGCGGAAATTAGTTTTTCCCAAGTGATACTTGGGTTATTCCTCACCCTACCAAAAAGGTCTTTTGGAGCTTTTCCAAACTTAAACCTCCAACCTCTACCATCTTAAAGAAGTTGACCCAATGATACTAAACTTAGTCTCAACTTTCTTAAGATGATAGAGGTTGGAGGTTTGAGTTTGGGAAGGCTCTAAAAGACCAATTTGGTGAGTTGAAGAATAACTCAAGTACCACCTTGAAGAAAATCTGGCTTCCGCTCCAGTGAGATGAGTTAGCCCAGTCCAAAAGACCTTAGAAGGTGGGGTGAGAATTGTTACATAAAAGGCGCCTTTTATATAACAGCACAACACCTAGCCCCTTACACTAGCGAATGCGGTGTTGGCAGGTGTCCTTTTATGGGCTCACGTGCTACTTTCCTCGTGATAGTATATGGGTTATTCTCCACCCCATCAAAAAAGTCTTTTAAAACCTTCCCAGGGATCGAGCTCCCAATCCCTCCTACCTTAGTGAAGTTGGGACTAGGGTTGGCCAACAACTTCACTAAGGTAGGAGGGGGTTGGGGGCTCGATTCCTGAAAAGGTTTCAAAAAATCTTTTTGGTGGGGTGAGTAGTGACCCATATACTATCATGAAAAAAGTCGCACATGGACCCATGAAGGGACATGTGCTAACATCGCATTCGCTAGCATAAGGGGTTATGAGCCGTGCTATTACAACCTTTTTGTCAAGGACTTTTTTAAGGAAAAGGCCATTTTATCTTTATTGATAAATTATGATTTTTTATTCCATTCTTATAATTCTTTGAAAAAAGTTGTTGTTCGTTAAACAAAAGTTGTCAATGGAGTTTATTATTTTGAGAATATGTTTTTTAATAATAGAAATTACGCAACACAGATTGTGATTTTTTCTTCAATTCTTACTATTCACATAATAAAAGTTATTATTCCTTAAACAAAACTTATGATTTTTTAATAATAGAAATTACATTTGACATGTAATTTTTTATTCAATTTTTTTATTTACAGAATAAAAGTTGTGATTTTTTAAATAAAAGTCGGAATTAGGTTTTGTTATTTTCAATAAGAGTAAAATGATCTTCTTTTTTTAAAAAATTGTTGAAAAAGAAATCTCTAAAAACTTCATTAATATTATTACATTTCAAAGGATCAAATTATCATTGACATAATTTAAAAAGATTTTATTATTATTTTTTCTATTTGCTGATCCACTTTCATTTGATGTTTTGATCTCGAATTTAGATTATTTAATTGCTTAGTACTTTAATTCTTTTGGCCAACTGATAAACTTCCAATGAGCAGTAAATAATTAATTGCTCAATTCGGAAAATCGGAACCACCAAATTAAGAAATATATTAACCTAAGGACTAATCAGTCTAATGCAAATAGTAGCTTTTATTCCTAAACACTCCATGAACTCTTCCCATTCATCTGTCAATTCAACGCTCCAAATTTGAAAAAATGGCCCCACAACACCTTTACCTAACGAAAACAAATGGAAACATCCGGTTGACACTTCCATCCAATGACCATATGCCACGTGTAAGTCAACTCTGCTTGCTTCTGCGTCCTCCGCTCTATCCAACGGTGATCCTCCTATGCTTTTCAACCCGATATTATTATCATTACTACTTTTTTTTTTTTAATATACAGCATTTTGACTTTTTTGATCCCAGACCCACCAGAATTCATGACCATGCCTAAAAAGTCAAAACTTGGGAATCAGCTTTCGATAACCTCATGAATCCCCACTCCCCTTTCAATCCCAACCATTTTTACCACATATGCCCTCATTTCCATCCTTTGAAGCTACGATCCTCCACTCACGACCGACGAACTTGCCCTCGTCTCCATCCTTCGAAGCTTCGGCCCTCAACTCATACGTGACTCAGCTCCTCATCAAGAAAGTAGCTTCCAAAGACACCACCAGAGTTGCCCATCTTCCCCGCCCCATATCAGCTCCATCGCTGGTGGCAGGTTCGTTCACTCCTACGAACGATAAGTCTCAGATCCTCACCGTCATCGTTTGGTCTCCTCGCTTTGGGAAAAAACCCCTCAGATTTCTACTTTCGATCTTGGGCCTTTCCAATGTGCAATTTTTGTAAAATCAGAGTGGATCTGAGTTTTTGCTGCAGCTCACGGTTAGTGTTAAGCTTCCATTATTGATTTGAGATTTTGCTGCAATTTTCATTAAATCCCCCTTATCATCGCATCGCCTCCGTCCTCCAGCTCTTTTCTCTCAAGCCATCGAGTCTGTTTTTTCTTTCATTACCTTATTTATTGGTTTCTCTGTGCTGTCAGTAACCGGCGTTCGTGACGACACCCGGGACAGGAGGAGAACCATGGGGAGGGTAGGAGGAACAACTTGTGCACAGGGGCAAAAGGGTCGTTTCAATTTTATTTTATTTTTTTTATAAAAAATTTTGATTCCATACTTGAGACTTAACCTAGTCAATGCCCCCCACACACCGAAAATCGGAAGGAATTTATTTTATGTAGAAAACGAGAGGTTTTTTTTTTTTCATTTTCAGAAAACTTTTATTTAAAAGTCAACGTCTTCTTCTCTCTCTTCACCTCTTCTTCACACCTTCAGCTTCTCTTCCCCCCTTCCTCTCACGTTTCCTATCTACACCTTGCAGCTATGAATATCTATTTGTATTAAGCCTTGTCATTCGCTTGGATTCCTTGATTTTCTGATGGGCAACGGCATATGCAAGTTGACCGTCTGCTTTACCGGCGGTGGAAGCCGTCGAAGGAAGCAGGATATATCTTATTTGATCACCCAGCCTCTTGACGAGGGACTTGGCCACTCCTTCTGCTATGTTAGGCCTGACCCGACACGTCTATCTTTGTCTAAAGTCCACTGTGAGGAGACCACCACTTTCCGAACAATCTCCGGCGCATCTGTGAGTGCCAACACGTCCACCCCTCTTTCGACAGCCTTCGTTGATTTGTACTCTTACGGTTGTATCGATAGAGCTGCAGCTTTCGAGAGCTCGACTTCTTTTGCTTCCCTTCCCCTGCAGCCAATCCCCAGAACTCTCATGAACTCCGGTCCCTTCTCGGGAAATCTTGGTCTGATTCCTGGATCGGGTCCGCTGGAAAGAGGGTTTATGTCAGGTCCAATAGAGCGTGGATTTATGTCGGGTCCAATCGATCGGGGCTTGTTTTCGGGTCCGATGGAAAGGGGTAGTTCTGATCAATTTCAAAGAAGCTACTCTCACGGGGGTTATGCGTTTAGACCCAGAACGCGAAAGAGCCGATGGATTCGAGTTCTTCAGAGGGCGATTTCGAAGACATTATCTCAGGGACAACACTCGATTGTCCCTTCGATCAAAGGGATTAAAGAGCCGGAGTGGATTATCGAACCAGAAAGGCACAACGAGAATCTGATGGTAAGCAGTGTGAATTTCAGCAGCGATGGTAGTTTGGAAGACGATGAGTCGATGGAAAGTCAAAATCTTCAATGGGCTCAAGGGAAAGCGGGTGAGGATCGAGTCCACGTTGTGGTGTCAGAGGAGCACGGTTGGGTCTTCGTGGGGATTTACGATGGTTTTAATGGTCCTGATGCTCCCGATTACCTTCTATCTAATTTGTATGGTGCTGTTCATAAAGAATTGAAGGGATTATTATGGGACGACGGGTCTGAATCCTCCAACGGCACCCCCGACACGTCCGGTCTTCCGGCGAACATTTCTAATTTTGAAGTGGGACAATCGTTACAGAGCAGTGATAGTGATGTTGGGAAGGATAGGATGGTAAATGCTTGTTCTCAATGTGTTGAGCAGGAGGGTGATGTGTGCACAAGTGGAGATGCGAATATTGATAAGCGAAGGCAAGGTAAGAATTGTAAGAGCAAGTATAGAGGGGCGACAAAGAAATGGGAGGAGAATCAGAGAAGGTGGAAGTGCGAGTGGGATCGTGAAAGAGTAGAGCTTGATAAGCGATTAAAGGAACAGCTGAATCGATCTGGTTCTGATGACTGTACCAACCCAATAAATCATTCAGATGTATTGGAAGCTCTTTCGGAAGCTCTAAGAAAAACAGAGGAGTCTTACTTAGAAATTGCGGATAAGATGGTCCTGGAAAATCCGGAGCTAGCTCTGATGGGTTCGTGTGTTCTTGTAATGTTAATGAAAGGAGAGGATGTTTATGTGATGAACGTGGGCGACAGTAGAGCTGTATTGGGTCAAAAGGCAGAGCCTGATTATTGGCTCGGCAAAATAAAGCAGGACTTGGAGAGGATCAATGAAGAAACAATGCATGATCTTGAACGTTTGGACGATGATAGATCAAATTTGGTGCCCAGTCTGAGTGCGTTTCAGCTAACCAAGGATCATTGTACCAATGTCGAGGAAGTAAGTCCACCAGCTCATTGTTTAAGCGTGCGGAGCCAGTTTTTTTTGTTTTTTGTTTTACCGTTCACCTTGATTAAAACAAGTGTTAATTTATTTTTCAGGAAGTCCAGAGAATACAGAGAGAACACCCAGACGATGCTTGTGCAGTGTTAAATGATCGAGTCAAGGGTTCTCTGAAGGTTACCAGGGCATTTGGTGCCGGATATCTCAAACAGGTCGGTATTGCGCTATAATTCCAATCTTTGACATAGGCAATAACAATGTAGTATCAACAATGTATGCGTGATTCCTGTCGTGTGAATGATACTAATAATAATAACACGGACATACTGCCATGTGCCGTGCGAGGTATCTCAATGGGTCTTCAGAAACTAGAGATATTTCCAAATATGATGGACGGGTTTTCATTTTTGGATTTGCCTCTAGGCATGATGTTCTGATTGCTTCATGCTATTTGAAATGTGGCAGGCAAAGTGGAACAATGCGCTTCTGGAGACGTTCAGAATAGACTATGTGGGAACTTCACCTTACATCACGTGCCGGCCGTACCTAAAGCACCACAGGTTAGGCCCGAAGGATAAATTTTTGATACTGTCATCGGATGGACTTTATCAGTACTTGACGAACGAAGAAGCTGTGGCTGAAGTGGAGCTGTTCATCACGCTGCAACCCGAGGGAGACCCAGCACAGCATCTGGTCGAAGAAGTTCTCTTCCGCGCTGCAAAGAAAGCCGGTACGTCTAATCTCTCATCTAACTACGCTTATGCCTTTTGACAAATGAAGGGACCATTGTTCACAAAGTCTATTGCCTGCAGGTCTGGACTTCCACGAATTGCTGGAAATACCACAGGGAGACAGGCGTCGTTACCATGATGATGTGTCTATCATTGTTATTTCTCTGGAGGGAAGGATATGGAGATCCTGTGTATAACGATAATGGAAATCCATATACTTGAGGGAGAAAACGGAGAGATGTATAGTGACGAATGGTCACGCATTTCATTTTTGCTGCTGTTGTTTTGTTTCACCTCTCTCCTCGCCTTTTGTAACATGGCAGGTAAGCTCTGGGATGGAGCCCGAGGGACTTGCTTGGGCAATGTAGTGGGTGGCGAGGGATGTAAAGTTGTTCATTCTGAGTCTACTATCTTACAGTGAATTGTAATTTTCTGGCCAAGTCATTCATTAGAGGAAAATCTAATAATATTTGGTTAAATTAAATTATGTATAAAATATTGTAGTAACTTGTGGGGCTGGTTGATGGATGAAAAATGAAACCATCTAAGCCGGGAGTAAATGCAGGGCAGGCGAGGAAGGTGGGCATTAGATGCGTCGTCTGAACCACTGGCATTAGTTGCTCCTAAAATAAATCCTATTATATTGCCCAGTGCATCTGCATCATGGGTCTATCACCAAGTTCAACTTCCCAACTCAACTCCATTCCAAACAATGCTTTTCACTCCTGTATTTGTATTTCTTTGTAAAAAGTAGTATATGGACTCATAAAAAGATTATGGGGATTGCCATCGTGCTGCGTAGTGCTACACCGCGGCTTAGAACGCGCGAGTTGGTTCGGATATTTGAGGTTCCATTGTGTCATCTCTCATGATTGGTTCTTAGATTAATTAGTCAACCACCAAGGTTGGCCCCTGATTGTGCTTTCCTTATCACTCATCATGAAATAATTAAAATAATTCAAGTCAATTTCATTCCCACATTCCGTGATCCAATGACGGGAAAATTTATTTTTCTCAAAAACGAAATATTATTTACTTGGTTTTTTTGTTTATTTTTCTTGAATGTATGCTTTGGTAAAATTGTTGAGTTTAATCCAGCAAAAATATATATTTTTTAAGCGGGAAACATTATGCTTATAAAAAAATGAAATAAAAAAAAATACTATCCTCAATTTAAATTATAAGAGATTTTTGGGAGAGATTTGACATCTCAAAATATATGACATTCTGATAAATATAAAATTTTATTAATGATACTTTTATAATATCACTTTTTCATTATATTTTTTTAATATTTTTTTACAAATGAAATATCAAATTAAGAGCCTTTTTAAAACTTTGTAATTTTATTTTAAAAAAATAAAATTATAAAATATATTTAATAAATTTTACTGGTACATGTAATTTTTTAAGTATTTTGTAACTTAGGATGGGTGCCAAAAAAATCTAGTTTGGTGCGAAAAAATAGGTAAGAGAAATGGCATAGAGACAAATGGGTTGTGTAGAAGGTGGCCACGCCTGGTTTTCCCACTTGCAAATGTTGAATCATTGTCCTTTGAATCAAAATATTCCCCCGAATGCCAAATCACTCCTTGTTTCTTCTTTTAAATCCACTGCTCGAATAAATTCTTTTCACTGAGGTTGTGTTTGTGTTGTGGTGTTTTAAATTAATTTCACTGGTTTAAAACGATTTAACAAAACAACTTACATTTATTCTATATTAAATTAATTTAATATTTTGTGTAACATGCTGATATATAAAAGGATTAAGATACAAATATACTTTTAATGTTTCTAGACAGCTGAATTTAATATCCTAAACTATTTTTTAGCACAGTTTCTCTTAAATGTTTTCATTCAGGTACAATCTCGCCCTATCATTACAATTTGACTGTGTTGACTGTTAGAGTTAAAAAATTTGACTGTTATCTGCCATGCAACCAGTCCTCGTGTCACTCGTCTCCCTTAACCCTTTGTCTTCTCTCCTCCCAACGGACCAAACCTAGATCCCATTTGCGGAAGTCTCATCGTCCTCCTCTTCCCTCCCATTTCTTCATCCTCCTCGAATCTCAATACCTACTTCAATGCTCTCCTTTTGGCCTACCATTGTCGTCGCTTGCTCCTCCTCTTCCCCTTAAAACTTCACTAAAGCTAGTGATGGTGGCCCACTCCAATCGTGTCTTTGAAACCGCCGACATTTCACATCTTCTTCTTCTTCAAGCATCCTACCGCAACTCCGACACAATTCAGCTTGAGTAACGTCACAATTTGGAGAGTTGATGGGTGTAATTTTGATGACGAGGCTAGGGAATACATCATCCGAGTCATGGATAAGGGGATTCTACTCCACAATAAATGGGTTGCCACACTTGTCGTTGATGGTTGTGAGGGTCTCGCCTTCTCCCACCATGTATATCTTGTTGCACGGCCGATCACCCAGCTAGTTTCCTCGGACGGCACAGGAAGCCTCTTCTTTGATGTCCACCATGGAGCTCTCTCTTATGGTCCTTAATAGTATCAGAGTCAACAACACCACCCCACAATACCGCAAGACCGTGTCCCCTATGCTTGTTGTCAATCCCTTCATAGCTTTTGTTTTTTACCAGATGACGACCAACCTGTTCTCACGTATGTGTGTGTGTGTGTGTGCTTCGTATGTATGAATAATAGAAAGACTAGTGCACAAGGAGATCTAAGAATTTCAAGAAATCACAGAGGATAATGGCTTCGTCGATCTATGATCTAGGTTGAGAGCAATATGGGTGTACGGCAGAGACAAATCAAGATTGAGGAAGAGGAAGTGATGAGTTGAATTTGAAGCTAGAGAGGAGGGTTGATGGTTTTGCTCTCAAGCTGAACGCGTTCTCGTGTTGTCTAGGTCTATTTGAGTTTTTGATGGGATTGGGTTAGGCAAGTTTGGCGGAGGTAAGGGAGGTTAGCGATAAAAGGAGGGATTTTGACACGAGAAGTGGTCGAAACCCAAGATTTCTCTTTTGATTTCACTTTTCTGATTTTTCTGTGCTTGATTTCTCCATTATGTCAACCCCGGTGATATGAACTCCAAGCTGTATGCTCTCAATTTGCTACTTTGAGGGTGACGAGAAGACCTAAGTGATGGTTTTTCATTTTATGGTTTTGTTCTGGATTTAGATCTTTGGTTCTTGATCTATGTTCTTGATTTCGTTTGGGATGAAGAAGGCTGCAATGAGGAAGAATATCTGAGGTGGATGTGTGTGTGTGTGTGTGTGTTTTTTTTTTTTTAAAAAATATGCCATGATGTGGCTACCAATACTACTTTTAACAATCAAATGTAATTTATGACGATTACTATGGATGATGGGCAACATTATATTAAAATGAAAAAGATGTTGTTAAAGTAAAATTGCATCAAAATATAATTAAGAATATGTCGTTCGCCTGGCTAGAAACATTAATGAAATATTTGCACCTTAGCCTCATATATAATAGTAACCACTATTTTTCCTTCATCTCAAGTCCTTATATAAAATAGCAAACACTATTTTTCCTTTATTTCAAGTCCTTTTATAAAATAATAAACACTATTTTTTTTTCATCTCAAGTCCTAAGATGTGACATGGATGAGATGAAAATAGTATTACATACTTATCAATTTTTTTTAAAAAAGTCTTGCTTTATTTAAAATATAAAATACTGAATAACTATTACTCTTTTTGGTAAAAATATAAAATATTTTTAATCAAATCTCACCTCTCAATAAAGTAATTATCTATTTTTTAAGTAACCTAATTTTTTTATATTTATCTCTATTAAACACCCTACAATAAATATAAAGTCATTATTAATATGGACAATTTTGATAACAAAGCAATAATTACACTTTAAAAAACTAAAAATTTATATTTTTAACATCTAACTCTTTAAAAAATTTCTTATATTTTTGAATGGAGGAAGTACAATTTTTTTATCATATCCTATTTCATTTATTACTTTATTTTTAAAAAAAATTATGTATTAATGCTTTAATATAAGATATTTAATGAGAGTATGATTTAAAAAATATAAAAATTAAAAAAATAAAATTTTAACTAATATTTTTTAAAAAGTATAAATTAATTATTAATATTTTATATTGTGATGGGAAGGAATATGGTGTGAACTGTGAAGGAAAGAGTTTCCGTTGCCCCAAAAATCAAAAACGTGTGAGTTTCCCACGTCACTTTTGCAACTCAAAAAGGTCGGCACATGTTTGATTACGTAGGTCCATCACCACCACCTCGTTACGTGGGAGTAATTAAATTTGTTTATTTTTTAAGTTGAATGAAGTTTTATAATATTTAAATTGAAAAACTTCATGATACTATAAATTATTTTTAAACTAAAAAACTTCTCATGAGAAATTCTATTTATTAAAATATGAAATAAAAAGATCATTTTGTTAGAACAGAATTCCGGTATAACATAAGAATTAATATGAATAAGTTTTCATTGAACAAATTACATAATGGAGACATAAACTGGTAAATTATAGGGTATGGAAAGGACTCTTGAATCCTCTGAGCGGGGCTGGCAGTGGAATTTTGTGAAAGGAGGAACAAAGGAGGTGTTGAAGAACCACAAGTAAGGGATGTGAAATTGAATTAATGATTTAACGATGAATCAAGGAATTGCAGAGAGAGGACAAATTCCACGACTTTGCAAAGTCACAAAATTATATAATTCCCTCAAACTTTAACGTCTTCACCTCTCTCATAGCCGGTGTTTGAACAACCAAAACTCCTCTACGAGGAAGTACAATATCTTAAAATTCAAGAACAGGAAATGCAAAATATCATTTTTTTTTGTCTTAAATTATAAAATACTTTTAAATAAATTTTTTTATTTTAAAACGTAAGGCACTTTAAATAAATTAAAATTTTATAAATACATCAATTTTAACGTTACTTTTTCTTTTTATAATTAATTTTTAATTTTTTTAATATATTAAATTATATATATTTTTAAAAATTTATATTTTTATTTTAAAAAGATAAGACCATTTAGTATATTTAATAAAATTTATTAATATATAAAATTTTATTTAAAAGTATTTTATAATTTGAGATAAAAGAAGTAATATAAACGTTTAATAATATATTAAAATTTATATACTAAATTTTTAATAGAGAGAATTATATTAAAAAATCACTCAAAAAAAAGTTATTTACAAACAAAACTTTATAACAAATCTTATTTAAAAAGCAACAAGGACGCATGTTTATTTTAACATTAATCCATTCCTCGTCCATTTTCATCTGTGATTTTTGAATGTAATTTTTTTCAAATTATTTCTTGACATTGAGAGACACTTGTCCCCATATATTGTGGCCCTGCCACTGCTTCATGGCACGGGCCATTTGGAACGCAATGGCCACGTAGGCGTCTCTTTGTGAGTGCCCTGGCTTCATTAATTGCTCCATTGAAAGTTGAAACACAGGCCTTGCAGCTTTTGACGGGTCCAAGTCA